TTTTTTTTCTCATGGAATTTCAGAAAATAAATTCGTCTGTAATGAAAAGCTTTTTAAGTTTTATATCATTTGCTAACATTCTATGTAATTACCACAGTAATGCTATGTTTATTATAATAATAGCAGTAATATTATTAATAATTATTATAACTATATATCGTCATCGTTGCATCAAACATTGGTGTATCTCGAAGTGATATGTCTTGTGAATGCATTTTGAATAATGATAATAACACAAAATGATATCAGTTATTATGATTGTAATCACTGTTATCATTACAGCTGGAAAGTGTGATGGTTGTTGGCGAGATTAAGGAGCGTTTATATATATCCGAGCCGAATGGTGCTTATGCCATCGAATGCTCGAATTCACGAACTCTACGCTTTTTACTTACCAAATTGCTAACAATTTCTTCGTTTATTTGTGCTGCGACAACAAATATTTCCACTGCCACTTATTATTTGCAGAAACAAATAACAAAAACTAGTGAAAAAATTAATTTGGTTAATATTTTAATTAAATTTATTTTTTTCAAATCTATTAATTAGCATAATAATATATTTTATAGCTGCAAACATTGATAGTAAGAAGTAAAAATAATTATAAATAATGAATATTTGTCCGATTTATCTTATGGTGTAGTTTGAGCACTAACAAATCTTATTCAGAAGCATTAAGTCTGTCTGAATTTTACTAATACAAATTGCCAAATTACTTGCATAAATAGAAATAAAATACATTGTTAAAAATTGATGCTAAAATATTTTCAGTTGGCAAGCTTAAAAATTTTAGTTTATAGAATGAAAGCAAGAAATTTAATAGCTTCTTTGGCTTAAACAATTTTTCAGCTTATTTATTTTATGGCTTTTTAGAATAATGAAGCATTGAAAATTAATTCTAATTCTTTATTTTATAAAGAGGTTTTAAATTTTTCAGCAAACTAATATCCTTTTAGATATTAAATTTCAAAGTTTCCAAGCAAAAATTTCAGAAAAATTTATTTTTATACTTCAGATCAGATTTATTAAAATAATAAAATATTTGAGTGATACTGTAAATCAGATAGTATTCTTGTTAGCGCGAAATTCTTTCTTAAACTTAAAATATTTGAAAATTACAAAAATTTATACATTTTCTTGTCTGATTTATAAGGAAATAGCATTGATAATTTAAAAAATTACATATTTAATCATTCTAAAACAACTCTTCTTAAAATAGTAGTACAGGAATTTTTTCAATTAATAGTTATTAGCATTTAGGATAAAACATTCAGTTCAGAGGGGCTAAATTTTGCTTTTACACTAAAATATACTGAAAATCTTTGTAACATATCCAAAGAAATAATTCATTTCTTAATTTATTTTAATATTTAAATTTTTTGTTCAATACTTTTTTACTTTTTTAAGAATGTTTTCACCTGATAGGAAACATTAAAGTGTGCCATAATTTGTTGCTTTACAAACATCTAAAAAAATGTCTATTTTATTTAAAAAATGTGTTTTTACAGCTGAATTTATTTGTTTATGTTTTCAGTAACTGCTTAAATAACAAATATTTTATTTTAAGCTTCATTTCAGAAGCAAAAAGCTTAAAATATTGCTCTAATTTGTTTAAAAAATAAAAAATAAAAGTGCTACACAAAATATTTTCTATCAAAAATCCCATTAAAATATTAAAGCACTGCTCTACATTTTACTAAGAGCAATGAATTATACGCAAAAAAAGATAGATAATAATATATCTTTTCTAAAAAATCTCAATACACAATATATAAATTCATTTTTTAAATTATTTGAAACTCGGTAATAAAAAATAAACAGATAAATAATAAAATTTGTCTACATCACAAAAAAAATAATTAGAAATAATGAACATGCTTAATTTTTCATGCAATTTCATAAAACTGTACTGCTTTGAATAATAGTTTAAAAAATTTTTTAAATATCTCAGATCAAATTTTTATTGAGTAAAGACGTTGATTTTAAATATAACTTTATATTTAAAATTCAGTGCATCTTACATTTCTGATATTGAAGTTAAAATTACTTCCAAACCTTTTTTATTGACATTGAATTGGTAAGGATAATTTTCTGAAAAACAATGATTTTTAAAGACAAAATCTGCATAAAATTGCAGCTGATTCGTTCAATAGGTTCACTGCAACCAGAATGCGAAATGGCTTACGATTTGAACGAAGAATTGGAAATGAATCAGTTGCGACTATTTACATTCAAATATCGTTTAGCAGCGATTTATGACGTTACTTTTCCAACGCCATCTGTACGCTAATAACTTTTTATAATTTGCCAATCTGCTAAATATTTTTGAAAATTTTTGAAAAAAATATTACTTACCAAATAAATCTTTGCAAATTAATTTCATCTAATTTCTCACTTTTAACTAAATTTTAATTCTTTTAAGTTTAGCCAAACAGTTTGATCCAACTAACTTTTAAACCACAAATATGTAATTTAATTGCATTATTATTAAACACAGTACTTACTGTGTTAATTGGCACTTATAATTATTGAAAGAAATTTCAGTTTAAAAATAAATCAT